GGCCTCCACATAGGAACCAATCTGTCATCAGAGTTCAAGCAATTCAACTCTGTTTATCAACGGTAGATTACAAGAATGAATAAAGAACTGGATAACTTTCCTCTTTCTGGAAACTTATTTTGACCTTTGACCGTAAATCACTTTGGAATATTCTACCGTTGTTGTTATATATTCATGAATGTATGGCCAAAAAATGGTTCCATTGGAAGGGAAAACTTTCTTCTCAGGTGCAATCATCTTCTCTCTTTTCCTACTTTTACGAAGTCGATGACATTGAAACTCGTAACCACTCGTTTCGATTCTCTTGGCTACTGATTTGTTTTCTAATACATATTACACGTCTGTCGCAAATACTGTCAACAAAATTAATTTGCCTGTTTCCAAAACTACAAATAACTAACCTGTGTTAGCATGTGAATAGTTGATCAGTTTGCCTGCGTTAATCAAGACCTTTGTTATTAGTTGCTGATACTGAGTTCCGGAGTGTTCATTTCATTCCATTCCGGATATGTCAAGTGAATACACCGATATCCTTATTCCGGTGTTCCACCTTTGATTGACACTCCGTATACAGTCTTTCAGGTAACTCAGAATTGGTTTTAAGTTCGTATTCAGCATGGAATGACATCAGTCAGAGGAAGATTGAGAATCTGGGAGTACTGGAAAGCCGTTTCACCTTAGTATGGGACTCCCTAGAAGTGCACACCCATGCCCCGTGGCGGATCAAAACCAAACACCACTTACAGGCATAGGGAATTGACAGAAGTAGGAAAATGTGGAGCCCATTAGATCCTAACCCAGAGGTGGCTCAATGGTAGCGTGCTGGCCACGAGACTTGAAGGTCCCGGGTTCGATGTCTGACGAGGCTATGGGTGCTCACTTCTGAGGAGTTCTATACTAGGAAGAAACAGCTTTCGGTGGTTCTGCAACTGATATCAGTTAGTGGTAAATACCAACTTGAAATCACTAAGTTAACCACCACAAGTCTCCAACTTGAAATAATTCAGAAGTACCTCCATGAACCAAAAGATTTGAAGTTGATGAACTCCGCTCATTAAATCCACTCTAGATTATCCGTATCGTGCCTATAGAATAGTTTATAAAAGTATATGAATTCGAAAATTAGCAGATTCAAACAAATAACAATAGAATTCTTGAATAAAATTATTCAATGAAGATAATAATAGCAAGACTTGAAAATTGTTATCATTATTAAAATAATTTTTAACAGTAAAGAAGAAAGGAGTAGTTCTGTTACAAAATGAATTATTTCATGATTTATGTTTTTGAAAATAAAATCAACAGTTGAAACTATCTAATTAGATATTCCATTTGTTGTCTAAACTAGGCGTGTGAGAGACGGTCTGCGTACATATAGACAGACAGACAGACACATACACATACACAAACTCACATTCCCGTCTGTCTATCCATCTATCTGTCTGTCTATCTGTCTTTGCGCCAACTGGTGCTGGATATTTTCGTATCCTTTTAGCGCGCTAGTGCGCACGTGAGGATATTTACCTACAAACTTATATGTGGTTACGCGTGCGTAATCGGTTCTTGTAATGAGTCATCATTTATCAATAAAAGTAACCTTGAGCATCCTCTAATTCTATATTGTCCAGCATGTACATTTCGAAAATACCTCAGGTATTATTATTATTACTACTATTATTATTATCATTGAATTTTTAAGTGTTATGAAATCACGAACTCGAAAATGAAAATAAAAATTAAGAGAAAGAAAAACAAAGATTCAATAAAATTAACTGGTACATTTTTGTTTATTTATGAATTATTTTGTCCCTTTCCCTTTCAATTGAGTGTGTGTGTGTGTATGTATGTACATTGTTGTACAATAGTGAATATACCTGAAAAAATGTATGTTGTGTGTGTATGTGCACTGTGTCTATGCGAGCTTGCCTGTGTGCGAACGTGTGTGAATTCATTCATTTTTCACCTCAATCATTTCTATCAGTTGTTTCGCCAACGAACTACTTTCAAGACAGATTTAAAGTAGAAAGCTGTTTTTCCTGGAATTGAGGGTGGGGGTTAGTACACATGAACTAAGTAACATTTTAATGGAATACCACAAATTTTGTGATGGAATAGAAAAGAATTCATTGTCTCTATGATTGTTGATGTTGTAGTTATTGTCGCTGCGTAAATCAGTCTTCAAAATAAATTCAGTTGTGAATGTGATTTATTCTTTTAATGATAATTACTGAAGGTGTGATTTCTGTGTCTGTGTGCTTTAATGCTAGACAGAAAGAGATAGACTCTGTATGAATCTTTACATATATGTAACCAAAACTCAAGTTGAGGTGATGTAAGATGGAACTTGAAGTTTCTGGTCAAATGTTTATCACTAAAATCATGCCAAATGTACAGAAGGACAGAATATTGAAAAATTTGACGACTTCAGGCTTTACAAACAATTGAGAGAATAACGAAACTCACCTCCTCCATACAAACAAAGATCACGTTAAAAGCATTTCATCATAATCCCTTCCATGTAATCCAGTAATCCAAACACTTTCTCTACGTTTATTTCCTTAAAAGCACTCAAGATATCAACTCGATGTTCTGTATCTACAAGGTGTCTGAAAATTGCACTAGTCACAATTCTACCTCCTCTTGGAGATACGCTCAGCCAGTTGAATTGATGCCCTCCTCTCAGTCCTTTCAATCTACTTGCTAGCACAAGTGCATGTGAATTCATAAATCCAGTTGCAGGTGACATGACCAGTGTAATTATCTAATTTTGACTGGTTTAGTGAGCATGTGGTATTGTATGGTGATACAAGTCTACCTGCAGGAAAGTACCTTCTCAATGCTCCTTTGATTCTTGTGTGTATTTATTTGGATACTGCATCTCTCTTGAATGCGAGCGGTTGCATTAAAATGCTTCCAACCTGACCTTTACATACAGAAGGATAGTATAGTTAGTCTGTAACTCCCTTCGTCCTGACACAGGACTCCTCGGCAGTATGCATCAATGACTCTGACAGAGATTGCAACCAGTGGCTGAAATGCAAAGTGCTAGCTGGAAAAACAAAAAGGTCTGATCACTGTCCCTGGCAGGGTCGTGGGCACGCGCTATTGAGGAGGTCATCGCTTCCATGTTTTCAACAGTTCTGCTATTGATATCAGTATGCTATGAATACTACTGCCTTGGAATCAACCCTTCAATTTATCACTGTAAACCAAAAGTTAAAGTGTCATCCAGTTTTCACGAGAATAGATAGAAAGACACCTCGGTGACCACAGGTAAAGTGATCAATATAACTGACCAATGTACCGAAATCAAGAAGTTACTGGACAGGTTGAATAACTATATGAGATTTAAAATAAATACCGTACCGAAGGAATTCCTTTGTAACACGTTTATTTTTAAAAGCTGTTGAGTGGCATATTTTTTTATTAGTATGACTATCTGAGATAAGCGTGGCTGGGAGACATGTATTGTTGATTCTGTATGATAACTAAAGGTAGAATGAAAGTCGGGGTAGCAGCAGGATTGGAATCAGTGACCTCTAGGTTACTGGACTCGCTGCTTTACCAACTGAGATATGCTAATCGGCTACTGATGGAGTTAAAATCAAGATCTGGTCAGCAGTTAGGTCTCGTGTCTCATTTGGTAGAACGTCGAAGATCAGACAGGGAGGCCACTGGTCCGAATCTTGTCCGGACCATATTTTCACTCCACTTTCAATCATTAACCAAAAGAGCATGTATAGTAAAACCAAAAATGCCTACCTTAAATCACCGAAAAAAGCCTAGAAAGACTCATAATAAGAATGGAAATATTTTGATCTGTTGCCCTGATAAGGGAGTAGCTTCGATGCTACCTCGCAGACAGAATTATAGACATAAGTCAACCCTGCCAGTTATAAGCCCGAGCTGGTCAAAACACTTTACAATGTAGCTAAGAAATTATGTTCTGTGCACAAGTTAGAGGAAGAAATAAACTTTATTGAGTGGTGTCTCCGAAAGAATGGTTATCCTAAGAGATTTATTAGGAAGTATGGAGAAGAAGAGGACGAGAAAAACAAACACTCAACTGTTGAAAAGAAGAAGGTTTTTATCCACTTTGCATTCAAGAGAGATGCAGTATCCAAATAAATACACACAAGAATCAAAGGAGCATTGAGAAGGTACTTTCCTGCAGGTAGACTTGTATCACCATACAATACCACATGCTCACTAAACCAGTCAAAATTGGATAATTACACTGGTCATGTCACCTGCAACTGGATTTATGAATTCACATGCACTTGTGCTAGCAAGTAGATTGAAAGGACTGAGAGGAGGGCATCAATTCAACTGGCTGAGCGTATCTCCAAGAGGAGGTAGAATTGTGACTAGTGCAATTTTCAGACACCTTGTAGATACAGAACATCGAGTTGATATCTTGAGTGCTTTTAAGGAAATAAACGTAGAGAAAGTGTTTGGATTACTGGATTACATGGAAGGGATTATGATGAAATGCTTTTAACGTGATCTTTGTTTGTATGGAGGAGGTGAGTTTCGTTATTCTCTCACTTCCATGGTGAATATCATTTCATCTTGTTTCATTTTCATTCTAACTGCATAACTCGTTATGTATGGATTTATCATTATTTTTCCTTCCTCACATTTCTTATCTCTTGACAATTAATTGTCTTCCACGTTATATGGATTATCAATGATTTTGTTGTACAATTTAAAATTATTAATCTCATGATTTTGAAATATATTATATACTATACTGCTGATCATTTTATTTTTGGGTTTTATGCAGCTGATGAGGAGCAATCTTGAATCTGAATGGTATCATTTTACTTTGAAATTTTGTTCTGTTTGCTTCATTCCATTTATTAAGGGTTTTAAATGCAAGAATTATGTGAATGAAATGAAGTATTTACTGTCGGATAACACCAAAATATCTAATCCTTAAGAGAAAAAAGAATAAAACCGACACCGTTGAAGAAGAACTTGCAGGATTTCTAGAACGAATGAAAACCAGCCTCGTACTTACATGTTACCAGTTCAAAACATCGAAACCTTCCGGATGTATTACTCCTAGACTACACAGTTCACCTAAGTTCTATAAGTCTGGAATACCTCTGCGCCACGTTTTCAAATTATCATCTTCTCCTCAATTCCTCGACGTATCTCACAGACTTGTGAATCGATTCAACGACAAGTTGTGTGAGCATAGTGTCTGTGATACAGTGGAATTTTTCGATGCAGTAAGCAGTTTTAATGTTTCGGTATGACAACGATATCATTAGATGATAATTCCTTATTCATAATACAACTATATAGAGATAAATAATATAGATCTTGAGATACCTACTGGTTACTTAAAAGATTTTATCTTAAGATGTATGTACCTTAACCTCAAAACTTAGCTTTAACGAAGAGGTGTATTAATAAAAAGATGGCATAGCCATAGGATCCCCTTTGCGCTTATCACTAGCTGATTTCCTAATGGCTAGCATCGAGAATGATAACCTCAAGGCAATGACAAGCCAACTGACATTATATAAGAGATATATATTGATGACACCTTCATCATATATGAAAGCATATTTAATACACAAAATAGTTTTGAAGTGCTTTAATCAGTCTTCCATCCACTAGGGTTTACAATAGGAGAAGAAATAAATTCTCAAATTCCATTCCTAGATGTTCTATTGACGAGAAGAGACAACAGTACGGAAAAACAACACAATTGAAAAACTTCCCATTAGCTGGAAAAAGTAGTCTTAATCGATTTCTATTTTCACGATATAATAAAATTTGTTCTATAGAATACATAGAAGGGGAGATAAGTTTCTTGAGATTTATCTTTTAACAAAATGGAAACCTAACGAGAAGAATTGCTAGAAATGTTTCGAAGAAGATTTTGTTTGTGAATTTAGAATTCAAGGGGAATACTACTGACAGGATTCTGTAAAACCGTCTGGAAAGATCAATTTGGAAAACATTTTATGCAGCACATCTTAAAATATACGACATTTGCCTTCTAATATATCCTATTCAAGAGGATAAATTGCCAAGAATACTTTGAAGCTAGATAGGTAGGTCATTCATCTAGGCATATCTTTCACTGTATTCAAGAACATCTCCAAGTATGACTTGGTAAAGGGCAGCAAGGATCAATCACCTTATGTATTTTGCAATATGTGTTCAATATGGGACATTCGGCTTCGAATATCTCATTCAATATTATTGATAAAATCTAAGCAAACCTTCCTAAACATATGCATCTCCATTTAAGATATATTGCAGAAGCCTTAGAAATTCATAAGTTGAAGTAAGAACTATGCATACAAAAGCAGTTTGTTAACTATCTTTTGTTACCAGTCCTAATGTGATTAGCTAATAAGGTATCTCGATATCTTGAACATTGATTACTCTTATGCCAAGCAGTCTCATATATCTCCCATTTCATCTTGTTTTAAATTTGCTTTTGTTTTCATGATATTTAAAACTCTCGACTATTACTCATGTCACAGAAAATTAGTTTACATCTGTCTTATAAGATTATTGCTACTTACTACTATCATGTTCCTTTGAATAAGTGAATAACACTGGTTTCAGAAATACCTTCCATACGTTCCCGATTATTTCTAAAGATTTTGTAAAACTTTTCTGATCTCCTGGTAGAACCATGTATTAATTTTGTAAAACACAACTCACTAAAGTAGTGATGGATAGTGGTTAGCAATGGAATTCAGGATACGCATTTTCGACTAGACAATACAAGCAACAAAATTAAAACTAAACGTTTTGCACAAGAAGTGACTATAGTGGCTCGGTGGTCCAGTGGATAACGCTTTAGTGTATAGTATAGTATAGTGCAACATAGTATCCATTAAAGTGTGGCAGTAATCTATGTCTTTTAGCATCGAACCAAGAGTATGCATAACTGAAATTTATATAATCCAACGATCTTTTACTATTGCTTAACTTGTAGAAAATGCTGGAACTACTTTTTCTAAGAGGCTACTGTCACAGAATGTCCTCAATCTCGCCAATGCATGCAGATGGAGAATACGATCGACACTGAACTTTATGTCTCATTGTATTGTGTAGTTTGAGAAAGTCTGCAGAGGATGAATAGCTGTGAAATAAATTTACCGTACTTTTTTTCCATCCTACAAATCTTATCATTCCTGTTATGTTTAAATTTATCAGCTAACATAGAAAACTGTCTCCCTAAAATGATTGTAAAAACAAGATCTTTAAGCGGAGACTAAGGAAACAACCCTCCATTAGCCATGTATGAACCTACTGTTATCGTAAATAGATGAATTCCCTTCCGTATTCTCTCTCTCTCTCGCTGTACTGTTATCTCCCTGTTTTACTCTCTTATCATAATTTTGTTATCATAAAAAGATTATTCAACATAGATTATCATTTATAACAAAATGTAATTTATGCAATTACACGAATTATTTAGTAGAAAAATCTCCTGTGGTGAAAAAATGCCATTTTTTCTTGTTCTTCTCCTTTCGCTTCCCCAGAGCTTATCACTCTCCAATAGGTCGTATTCTCTCTTCACTTCCTTTTAGCATCGTCTTCTTTGAATACATTTTATCAATATAACCCGCTGTTCTACCCAGCTAGAAGGTCGAAGGAGAATACTCTTATTTTACAATACATTAGCGAATATAGCACACAAAGAGAACACTTTCAATTATCAATAGACACCATACAATGTTCTACTGGGGAATATCTTGTTTGAATTAACTGCTGATAAAAAAAGAAAACCAGAAATTAATTAATTCTAAGCATTCAGTTGAATTCGAATAGGAATGAGAAAACTTACATATACACATACACCAATAAATGGAAATGATATTTTTGATGAAATACAATTACTTCTTATTAAAATGATGCTTTTCTGTGTGTATTTTCACTTTCATGCTTGAACAACCTTATTCTTATCTGAAGGTGGACTGCATTGACGGTTAGTACTCGTTAGAAGATGAAATAAGACCCTGTTATACAACACTTCCATTTGTGTGCATCAATAATCCCTTACATAGGTGAAGAAAAGACGCTCAGATTACACAAAGGAGATGATCAGCTTAATATTGTTAATATCCTAGTTGGTATTTGTCAACTGAATGTAGCTGCATCCAGTGAGTGTTTTTCTTCCCCCTGAAAGTTAGACCCCATATCCATTGTTGTGAACGCCAAAGTGTTATCCACTAGGCCTGTTGGGCACGGAAGCCACCTGTTTTGCAACGTGTGTCAGATTTTTGTATTATTTATCATTATTATTATTTGTCCTTTGGGTTCCTAGGGGAAAACAAGGCTTTAGTAGCACGTCGCCACTTCACTCTCTTCACTTCAATCTTTTCAACCTGGCTCCACAACTGCCTACAAGCTTTCATTTCTTCCTCACATGATCTCCTCCATGTCACTCTCACCTCGGATGCCCAACTCGTCATTTCCCCTTTGGATTCCACTCGAGGGGCTGATCTGGCACGTAATGTCCCTAATCGGTCTTCTCAGTGTATCCCTAATCCATTTCCACTTTCTTCTGAATATATATATTGGGCGATGGGTTCTCGGTTGGCTAGTTGCCAGCCACCCAGAGTTCCTTGTTGCTTACTCTTATTATTCTCCCCACCTGATCTTTCTGATCTTCTGTACCAAATGAGCGTAGACAGCAGCAGCTGATGATGCATATCCATAGTTTGTTGGAAATGCTTTTCGTAACGCGCCAAGTCTCTCAGCCACCACATAGAAGCACTGACTTGACTGAATTAGTGTTGGAAATTCGGGCATTGTTCACGCCTTATACTGAGTGCAGTAGATCTCCACATTGATTTCAGGTTGATGAACGTCTGTCTTGCTTTTCTGATCCTGGCTTTGACGTCCTCATCTGTGCCGTCGCCGGTAGTTAAAGCGATGCTGCTTTATCTACGTAGGTGAAAGAGACAAATTACTTTAGATTTCTGCCGTTGATGCTGACTAGTGCTTGTTGTTGGTTGGATATCTTCACCACCTCTGTCATCTCTACCTTCACCTGAAGGTAGTCCCGTCTTCATTCGCTCCCTTGCCTCTTCTACCAACTTTTTAGTTTACGCCTGTAGATCTTCTAGTTGGTGCGACAAGACAACAAACATAAATCATAGTTGGCGAAATCCAAATCTTCTAGGGTCTTTTCATTAGTCCAGAGTATGCCCATCATTTCACTCCTCACAGTTGTCCGTTGCACGATCCAGTTCAGTCCAGTTGACTACAATCAGGAAGATCATAGGTGATGGTAGACAACCCTGTCTTACTACTTTCTGTCTTCACTTCAAAGGCACCACTGAGCTTCATCTACGTTGATCTCTCCCCTCCCAGATAGTAACTTGGTTATTTGATATAGTGTTGTCAGGTGTCTCTTTCCAGACCTCAGCCTGTTCTGCTTCATTTGCCAGTGTGTCGTCGAAGTATCTTTTGTCTTTGCGCGCTATCCCTTTCACTTTTTTCTGCAGTGTTTTATACGCTGTACTCAGTTCCTCTTTTCGTTGTTCATACCTTCACTGCACTACACTGGTTCATCTTTTCCTTCACCATCAGCAGCTTCACTACCTCCAACAGCTTCTATATGTTCGTCGAGATCCATTTCTTGTCTTGCTTCTTCTTCTTCCTTCCTAACATGGTTATGCAGGTTTCTTCCCACATCTCTTTCAAAGAGTTCCAGTGTTCTTCCACACAGGTTCATGCAGGGAAGTCGCTCAATGTCTCCCATTTTGTCCCGGTGGCTGGCTGACGTGAAGATGTCCTTTGTAGTTTCGTCCTTTAGTTCAGTTTCTGTTCTGGGTGTTCAACTTCAACTGTCGTCTATCACCATCTTCATTGAACTGAAGGCTTTCAACTTGATTTTGAATTTAGGTTCCTTGCACTAGACAATCAGTGGTGTGTACCTGCACCTGCCCCCTTCTTTATCTGATCTTGTGTCCAGTAGGCTACATCTCCACTTTCTTCACATTGAGATGAAGTCCGTCTGACTTTTAGTGTGTCGTGGTGTCTGATGGAATTCATGTCGCTTTGTGAATATCCTTGTGTTTGTACACACTGCCTTTAATCACCAAATCGTTGAATGCGCAGAAATCCGCAAACAGTTCTCCATTCTCATTCCTCATTTCACTGAGTGCTTCTCGACCCATGGTGAGTTCTCTTCTATTGTTGTCCTCTCCCCGCAGTTTTGCATTCATGTCATCCATTAGAAGTTCGATGTCGCCGACTGGGGTGGGGTCTTGTCCACCACTGATTACAGTTGTCTATAGAATTCCTCCTTCTTATCTTCATCTGCATTATTTGTAGGTGCGTAGCATTGGCATTGTGTGATTGTGATTCCCCTTCTTTTTGAGTTGAATCATGCTGTCGTAGTCCAGCAGCAGGAAATAGGTTCCCACTGCATGAGAGCCTTTGATGCTCTTGGGGACATCATGATAGCCACTCCCTCAGTGTTCTCGTGATTGTCGCCTACATGACAAGATCGGAGTAGATAATTGACTCTCCAGTTAAGAGTTTGGGGAGTCCACTTCCATTCCATCTGCTTTCACAGATTCCTATCACTTTTATGCCATACATCCTCATCTCTTTTGCAATCTGGGAAGCCTTGCTGGGTTCAAACATTGTTCGGACATTCCATGTCCCCACGTTTACTTTCGCTTTCATCGAGAGAAGACACATCGACCAATTGGCTTCCCAAAGTCTTCCACCAAGTGACGTCATTTCATCTCCCCGATTCCAACGAGGAATAAGTTTGTTTTCATTTTGTACGTTTTGTCTGTGCTTTGGAGTTTCTGTAGTGGTTTGATTGGTTTTGTGAAATAGGGTAGCCCTATGCCCAACCTTCCGTCTTTATCCGAGCTTAGGACCGGCTAGTAACTACTGCACTTGTAAGTTAGGCGAGGTTGTTTTTTATATTGGTACTTGTAATTTTCCGTCTCCAAACTGGGTAGAACTGTTCTAACAGATATGGATAAGGCCTTAGTGTTTAAGTACTGGGTTCGAATTTCAGTGGGAACACCACTCACTGGGTTGCAGGTACATCCAGGTGAATAGGAAGAAACACGAATCTTGAACTCTAGTACTGACCGCCAAGTACAATACAACATAGTGAATATGTGGGCAGTATTGAAGGGTCTACATAAGAGCCCAAATGAGGTCGAGCAATTCGACACAATACAACAACGGGAAATTACGAGTACCAATAAATAACATTAAAGATGTTTCATTATCAAGAGATGTCCTTGAAAGCGCCAACTTTTCAGTTGCCAGCATTTAATGCTTGTCCATGGATTAGTAACCAACACGCACTAATGATTATTATCGTTTAATAATTGTAAAAATCTACTGATTTCTATTTGCTTTTACAGATTTCCGCATCAATAAAAGAGAATAATGTATTGAAAAAGATAACAAAAGTGAAGTGAAACGCATTCTGCTAATACTCCTTTGCCTGTCCACTTTTGTCAATAGGTGCGCACGTGTGTGCGTGTGTGTGGTTGGGTGGATGGGTGTTTGGAGTTATGGAATTGAACAGCATAATAATCCGCAAATATATTCATTAATAAATTTGTTACTACTTAACAACTAAAGTAGTAATCAGGGACTTTAACGGATTATGTCTGCTTTAGTTATCACTGATTAGAACAACTTCAACAGACTGTAAACTGAAAACAGATTTGTCAACAATAGACTGTGTTAAAGTGGTTGAATATCTTTCAAAGTATCAAACAGTTTTGAACTTTCTCATTAGTGTCTGACTTTTTCTGCCGATGTAAATTTGAATTTAGCGATAATAATGTTCAGGATGAATAGTGGCTAGTGGGAGATTTCAGAATGCCTATTTCATCCTATTTGGAACTCGTCAGCTGAGTGGGTAGTTTGTGCCACTCATTCGAACGCGTGAAAACGGTATGTTGGGTGATTTCCATGAGAAAAGAAAGTATCTTTCACCTCCAGTCAGTGGAGATTCTGAAGGAGGAAACAAGAAGTAGGAGAAGGAAATATGGAAGATGAATGAAAAAGTAACAGAAATTAAAGAGCAATTCA